AATAATATATATTCTTTCCGTCTTATAAATTTATTCTCGGTTTGACTTGAATCGAATTTTAAGAAAGTTAGAATAAAATTAAAATGTATGATTGTGGTCGAGTAGGTAAACGAATGTTAGTCACACAAAAATTTTTAAAAAGGGAAATGAAAAAAGAATTTTTTGTGACATACCAAAAAGATTACGTGAGAAGGGAGTAGTATGAACTCGTCCTCACTCACAACTAGGATTGGATTCGGTTCGGGCCACCCGGCCCGTGACCCGGCCCGGTCGGGCGGTCTGGGACCGGGTATGGACCCGAACCGGTGGGAATGGGCAGGGCGGGCTCGGTGCTGGATTAATGTGACCCGGCCCGGCCGGGTCGAGCCCGGTCTTAATTAAAAAAAAAATTGGGGTCTTGGGCTAGTGGGCTACTAGCCGTTGGGGGTGGGGCTGGGGACAACCTATTGATGGACTCGGGGCGGGTCGGGCCCGGGCCGCCGGGTTGTATGACATGGGCCCGGGACCGGCCCGAGGGTTGGACGGGTCCGGTTCGGGCCGGGCCACCCGCCCGGGTCACGGGTCGGGTCCGGTTCGGGCCGGGCCGGGCCGGTTAATTTTTTTTTTTATAATTTATAGTTTATAGTTTTATACGCGTATTAAAAACAAACTTCAATTGCATTTATTTGAAATGAAATAGGAACTACATTTGAAAATTAAAACAAACTTTAAGAGAAACATTTTGAAAATTGTAATCAATCGGAACTTCCCGCACCTCCCGATCCTTTGGCTTTGTCACATGACTTCATATGCTTGATTGCCATCCCGAATCCGCCTGAAACCCCCATGCTACATTTTTTCTCGCACCATTTGCAAATTGCGTACCACATCCCGGTCTTCGGGTCCTTCTGCTTATCAAAATTATACCGTATAATGGCATCTTGATTTTCCATCTTAACTTCTTAAGTATAAACTATAAAGTAGATATATAAATAATAAATATAATATATTGGAGAATAAGAGAATTAAAGAGTAGAGAGTTAAGAATAGGATTTAGGAAGAATTGGAGAAGAGATATGAAAAAATGTTTAAGATTAGGAGTATTTATAGGTTTTTTTACCCCCCACCCCCCCACCACCAACCCCCCCACCACCCAACCCCCCGGACCCCCCTTTACCCCACCGAACCGGACCCGTTCAACCCTCGGGCCGGTCCCGGGCCCATGTCATACAAACCGGCGGCCCGACCGGGCCTAGGCCCGGCCCGGGCCCGAGTCCATCAATAGTTGTAAGTCGTTGGTTGCAAAAAACAATGCAAAATTATGTATAGCGAGGATGGAGGGTTTTGCATTACGTGCTGACAGGTGTCAACAGCAAGGAGGTTTCAATGATTTTAGTTAATTTTGTCATGGAGAGATGTTGTGGACGGTGGATATGAGTAGTTTAGTCAATATAGACGGTAGGGTAGGCTTGGACTCGGGTCGGGCCACCCGGCTCGTGGATCGGCCCGGCCCGCTACTGTGCGGGACCGGGACCGGCCCGGTTCTCGGGTCCGGGTCCGGGTCGGGCCTAGGCCCAGGGGGTAGGGCGGGTCCGGGTTCGGGTCTCAATTTTGGTGAACCGGCCCGGGCCAAATTAATTTTTTTTTTAATTTTTTTTTTCATTTTTGGGGTTCCACCCGGGTTGGCTTGATGGGTAGGATGGGTTTGGGGGGTTTGGGAGGGTGGGGGTGAGGGGGGTGGGTTAGGAAAGCAAAAAAAAAAAAATCCAAATCGGAGGCCCGCCCCGGACCGGACCCGGTGGCTACCCGGGCCGGTCCCGGGTCCACCATTCTTGAACCGCCGGCCCGCCCGGGCCTAGGCCCGACCCGGCCCCGGCCCGGACCCGAGTCCACCCCTACGGTAGGGGATGGGGATCTGTATGAACTCACTATAGATGCGATTTTGACTTTGGACTTGTTTTTTATTCTTTCATCATTTATTTTTCTAATATTTAGAAAAAAGATTCTGTTTCAATTCTTATAAACTAACCACAAGTACAAAATCCCCCAAAAATATGAGAAAAAGTGAATTACATATGGATTATGATGCTTTTTTAATCCGAGAACTTTTAAAGTCTAGGATTTTAAATCCTTAAACTTTTATAAATGAATTTCGTTGATTTATGTAATTTTATAAATGAATTTGGTTGATTTGTACTCGTATAAATATATGAATATTATATGAATTGTACTTATCAACTTTATTAAAAATTGTGATGGATTATAAGGATCCAAACTATATAATAAATGGAGAAGAAGATGAAGTGTATTGGAAGTATAATATTGATTCTAGGAATTAGGAACTAGAGTTACAAGTCTCCCAAAGGGAGTATAAATAGAGAAATAATGAGCTGGGCCGCTAATATGGGCCCGATTGGTCCAACTACATAAAAGACTAATCTAGTACATACAGATGATATATGAACAGTACAATAACACAAAGGACATTCGATAAACGTGTGTGAGCCGCTGTCCACGCCTAATAGTAGTGAGACCCGGGGATCCGAGTCTATATACTCTATCACGAGTTCCCCACTCCCTGAGTCGAGAGTACTCGAGACGAAAGGGAGTAGAACTGTGTGCTGATCTGTCGTCGTCTGGTGAGTAAACTTCGTGAAAAAATTTAAGGCGCGAACTCCCCCGCTCTTCGAGTCCCCCACTCCTTGAGGTGAATGTAGTGAGGTGAAGAGGAGTAGAGTAGTGCATGTCTCGTGATGTCTTCAATAGGGATCGAGGGTCGACACCTTTTGTCCACGTTAGGGAGATGCTTCGTTAAAAACCTCATTAGGAAAAATCCTGTGAGAAAAAATCCTAATGAGGGAAAAAGAGTACACCGGATGCCCCTAAAATGAAGCAAAAGGGGTGAACCCTTCGGCCTTGGTGTGGAACTTCACCCGTCGACATCTGCTAAGGGGATGGCCAAGATCGGTCCTCGTATGTGCATAGCTCGGCATGATAGGTAGTCCTAGTCATCAAATAAAGATGACTAAGAGATAGGTCCAGTGACCGTCCATAATATGATGTCCAGGTCATCAAATAAAGTGACCGAGACGTGTGGCCGAGAAGCCTCTAAGAAGTCCAAACCATCAAATAAAGATGATCAGGGAAGCGCCTGGAAGTTGAGAGAGTCTCTCTAGCCTCACGCTACTCTTCCCTTTCGAGCTCAGGTCAGCACCACTCACGGTGGCCGCCGCCGCCGCCGGAGCCTCCGGGCTCCGGTGGGCTCAGGTTTCTGTTTCGAATTTTTGGAAAATCGTCAACCACTTCGGTGGTTTTGGACTGCTTGTGAAATCTTTGAAGTTTTCCTGGGTTTTGGATCTCGCTGGAAAGTGCCGAACCACCACCTACCACAGCTAGTAACGCTGGACGGTTGTGACAGAGGTGAACGGATCTGGCATGGAGGTTTGGTGCTTGAAGGTTGGGAGCTATGCCGGAATTTTCTAACTGGGATCTGTTCTCCAAAGGATGGAAGAATCCTGTCGGAAAATACTGAGGATTTAAAGCTTTGTTTCTCCAATGGCCGATGACCTCGCCGGATAATGCTACACACCACTGACGACAGTTAGTAAAGCCGGGCACTTGCTCTGAGAGGGGGAGGGGGGGGGGGGGGGGGGGTGACGGAGGTGAATGGGGCCGATTTGAGTTGTTCTTGGTGTTGGATGGTGGGGTCTGAGATCAACGGTGTTAACTTCGTGGGGATTCCTTGATAGCTGGAAGATGATGTTTGAAACGGTTGGTTACTGTTTTGTTGAACTAGTGGAATTGTTGGGCTGCGCTGTTGCTCTGCTAGACTTCGAATTTGGCTGGGGCTTAGCTCATTTGGATGTTTTGTTGTTGCGATTTTGCGAAATGGGCTACACTCGAAGCCCAGTTTGTTTATTTGATTTTGCTGCGGGGTTTGGGCCTTTCTTGGCTCAAATCCAATTTATGTGATTTGTTTTGAGTGTGTTTTGGGCTGCTGTTGCTGATGGATTTTGATACTAAGCCAGGGGTCTGTCCCGTGCTAGTAGTTGGACTTATTTTTACTAAAACATTTTCTCTCTCCCTGCCCCTGTCGTGAGGTAGAGGTGGACGGGGTGTGTGTACGGTAGCAGTTACCATAGGTTAGTTTTCTAGCTTAGGTAGTTTCTTTTTGACACTTGTACATTCTTGAAATCCTTTTCCCTTGGGTGTCTATTTAATATACTTACATTTCACCCAAAAAAAAAAAATGATCAGGAGAGACAGCTAAGTGGCTGATATGATGTCATCATTTAGTTGCACCTATGCATTCAAATAAAACAGTTATAATTTATTGAGCTTATGATTTGCTATTGGATTTGGGTCTAAATTAAGTTGGCTCAAATTTCCAAGCTGCAGCTCAAGCTAGGTTTCTATGCTTAGTTGGAGCGTGGCACGCATATAGGACCGAACCTACCGTCGAGAGATTGCAGTTCATTTCCGATAGCTAGATGACACACATAACTCATACATAACATAGAAACTAGAGTATGCATTTGATAACATTTGGATTGGGAGCTTACTATCCATACTCGTTTAAAGTGACCCGGTGGCGCGAGTGTGTGTGCTCGCCCGGTGTACACGAGTGCTCGGAATTCATATGTCCGTTTTTCAATGTCAAAAATACACACCATTTAAAAAATAATGATAATAAATTAATAATCTAGCTCAACTCGTCAATCAAGTTCGTAGCTGGGATCAACTAGACGCTATTTACGGGTCTTTTCACGGATGACTCACCCTTCGAGATTGAAGTTTGATGCTATATTATTAAAATATTTCATTTATGATTTTTTTGTAATCATCTTATCAAATATGTTCACATATCAATTCCATGAAGGGAAATTAGGAGTACTTAGCTTTGAATGAGCTGGATAAATGGACTGTGATGTAGAAATCCTGGACTGCGTGTAGTCTTGGTCCATCAATTAATTTTAATCCAAGCCTGGTCCATTGAGCTGGTAGAAATCCTGTTGGCAGGCCATTGATATCCTCAACTGACGTTAGGTCTAATAAAGAAGAAAATGAGGCAGTTCTTCAGTCCTGTTACCATGCCGCCGGAAATGGAGAGGATCTTGTCGTTAGCTCGGAGTATTTCGTCCAGAGGCTACTAGACTTCTCTGCTGGCTATGGCGAGCAAACCCGGCAGACCTGGACGGTGGACGGCGCGGTGATGGGGGGTGGAGCTCGTCTTGGGCGTCTTTGACCTGCGGGTTTTTGAGTCGTGTCGATCGCAGCAGTTCCAGTCCTCTGCAGCAATGGGCCACGCTCTCTTCTCGTTGGCTTCTGGCTCGAAAATAGAGCTTCCCAGCGTCCATTAATGGCGGATTTCTGAAGGTCAAGCTCCAGAGGCTGAGTCAAATGACCTTGGAAATGACAATCGTGGACCTGGCTCCAACCTTTGAGCTGCGGTGGCGACCGGAGCCGTGCCGGATTGGAATAGGAGCTGCGGTAACAGAACTCATCAGAGGTGCACCAGCCTCCGTCTTCCTCATTATTTCCATCGCTCATTATTTCCATCACTGGACAGGATTCTTCCATCTTTTCACATCATGAATTCCACATCTTCATTTGTTGATTTTTTTTTGATTTTCCAGAACAATTTTGGCTCATTTTTGTGTGAATGGAATGAATTTTTTGATATTTTGGGGGAATCTCACTTGATTTTGCTCCCAGTCTAAATGAATTCATGGATTATAGGGATCCATACTATATACTATTTTAGTCCCATAAAATTCTTCCCACTTTGACTTGACACAGAGATTATGTTTGTGAATGGAATAAACCGGAAATGGATGTGAACCACACAAATTGTCCAAAAATGTTAAGTGGGAAGAATTTTTTAGGACGTCTAAAAAAAGAAAGTGAGAAAAATTTAAGGGAAGGAGGGAGTAATAAATGGAGAGATTTGAGCTATAAAGAAAAAGATGAAGTGTATTGGAAGTATAATATTGATTCTAGGAATTAGGAACTAGAGTTACAAGTCCTTCAAAGGGAGTATAAATAGAAAAATAATGGACCGGGTCGCTAATAAAAGACTAATCTAGTGCATACAAATGATATATGAACAATACAATAACACAAAGGACATTTGATAAACGTGTGTGGGCCGTTGTCCAGACCTAATAGTAGTGAGACCCGGGGATCTGAGTCTATATACTCTATCAAATTGATGTTTAAAAAAGAATCAAAATTATTTAACATTCACAGGTCCAAGTATCATGTAATTACAAAGTCACAAGAGACAATAAAAGAATTTTTAAACAAACTAAATGTGATTCATCATCTCGAATAAATCATGTGTAAGCACCTAGATTTATTCTTTATCAGAACATTCAAAATCGGGAAGATGGTCCTTAAACTCGATCTCGAATATTATGTATTATGGTCATTGTTGTATGCGATACGAGTATGTGTAATATATTCTTTATGTCGTTGTTTTTAAGATTAACTTGCTTATATTTAACGACTAACTTTACTTATATTCATTACTTAAAAGATGAAATGTGTCGATATATGATCTGAATAATTGTAAACTATCCACCTGAGACCTAAGTTGTCATGAATTATTTTATTTTTTTATTTCAAAAATTTAAATATTATTTGAATTTATTAAATTAATAAATTTTGTGAAGAAAAAAATATAAAAGATTAGGAAAGAAATTAAAAAATTAAACAAATAAAAACCTATGAAAATTTAGGTTCTAGATTCATAGTTTGAATCATTCATACCCTATACCGATACATTTCATGTGAACATCCAAAGTCTCGTATAGATAATGCATTTATATTTAAGGCGGTGACAAATCTACTTGGTTCATGTGAACATCCAAAGTTTTGAAAATACAATACAAAATTATACTAGTATTTAATAATTGATGTAATGATTTTTTTATGTAATATTTTAGTGGAAAAGTAATTTTCAATATCCAAAAGTCTAGTTGCACGATCTAAAATAATTGTCAGGTCGTCGATTGACATGAGACTACTATCGGCCTATATTTCAAGAGTTTGGATTTGGGGTACACACTTTTGGTGTACACACTTTTTACACATGTCTGTGTAAGGTTTTTTTTATGTCTGTACAGACATAACGTATTTTTAAAATACGTTATGTCTGTACAGACATAAAAAAACCTTACACAGGCATGTGTAAAAAGTGTGTACACCAAAAAGTGTGTACCTTTAGAATTTTTCATATTTCAATGAGTGTACATCAACTATTGTCAACTTGTAACCGTAATGCCATCCCTAAGGGTCTCCCAACCTTGATCGGAGGATGTAACCATAATGCCATCCTAATACCTCTTCGTGGACTACAAGTCTACAACCACTCGACCCAATATTACCATCAAGGAACAGATACTTACCATCAATGAGCAGTGGCTTGTTGTGGTGAGATGTGGGTGCAATTTATTTTACTTAAGAGGAAAATAATATAAATAACCCAAATTTTGAAAGGATGTGACATGAATACTTCGAACTTGCATATGTAATATATATACCTCGAACTTTATATAAAAAGTTATTTTCGCATCATGATTATATGTTTTTTACAAATATAAATTTATTAAAATAAATACCTTATTCAAAATAATCTAAGCTTTATTTGAATGCAATTAACATTCTAATATTTCATTTGTGAAATAAATAATATTAATCAAGTAGAATCTAATTTTAAATGTATCCTCATAAGTGTTTTGTGTGTTTTAAATTATGTACTAAACACCATAAAATTACACTTGTGAAAAAACATATGATCATGGTGCTAAAATAATTTTTTATATAAAGATTGGGATATATATATTACATGTGCAAGTTTGAGATATTTACCTCACACCCCTTCAAAGTTTGGGATATTTAAATTATTTCCCCCTTTATTTAATTATTATATTTGAATTATATGAGTACGTGTGATTAGGCAATTCATGTAATATGCAGCCTTATTTAGAGAATAAAAATACCACTCTTATTTAGAGAAAAATCCTATAATTCATTCCTATTTTTAAGGTAATTTGTTTGGAACTTCTGTAGATGAGAGAAAAATTTGAGCCACACAACTCTTTCTTAAAAGAATGATGTTTGGAACTGGCAGAAAAGAGAAAAAGGAAATCTTTGCGGATAGACATGGGATGGGTACTAAACATTTGTGAGGAATTAACAAGCTCAAGTGAGTTTTTGTAAAATGTACAAATGTGTAGCTGCAAATACAATCACGCATACAATTGGTAGAACAATGGGTGGAACATTTGCAGAATATGCAGAAACCATTTGCAGTACTATGTTACAGTTTTGCTGCTAAAAGGGGGCTAGTGAGAAAAGGATTCATTTAAGAAGAATCTAAATGCAGATGACTTTAACCAAACTAATGCAATAATTATGGCTATTCGGCTGTAGGCAGCACAAGCTAGAAACCTATAGACCGTTGGTGTATGAAACTTTAAGCGGTTAAGTAGTTTATCAGATGTTCGGTTTCTTTCTTGCTTTTCAACTTACGGAATGCACGTGACTCGATTTGACGGATTCTCTCCCGACTTACGTTCATCAACTCCCCAATCTCTTGCAAGGGCTTCATCCTTCCATCCTCTAGTCCAAAACGCCATCTAAGGACTTGCTTTTCCCTTGGATTTAATAAAGTATCCAATACCTTCTCCAGATCTCGTCTCATAAACTGCTTCATCAGTAACTCTTCAGTTGTTTCAGCTTCAGGATCTGCAATCACTTCCTAAGGAAGAAAGAAGGCACATGAACATGAAATTACATTTGAAACTTTAGGGTTATGTTTGGATCACAAAAAGGGAAAAACAATGTAATGGTAAGCTGTTTTCTTATGCACAGTTTTACCGTGAAAATGCAAAGGAAAACTACGTAACAAATAACAAATAAAATAAATTTGTTGAGTTTAGACAAATTTTAATTTTCCTACACACATGTGTGTGTGTGTATGTATGTACGTACGTATATACATGCATATGTATACTTAAAAATGAATAATCAACATAAACCACACAATTCTTCCTTTGGAAAGTGATGAGAAGAAACTTTTATGGGAAGAACATTCTGGGACAATAGATATAGATTATAATTAGTACCAACTAATAACACTCCATATATTTTGTCCTTGAAAAGCTCATGGGAAAACTTTATTAGTTTATTGGTAACTTATATGCCATGGGAGGGTTATAATTCAAGTACGGAGTATCAAATAACAATAAACCAAATTTGTTGAGTTAAGACATATTATCATTTTCTCAATTAAAAAGACACCTTCCTGTGCAAAGTGCAAACGGATGCACTTTTTGCTCAATGGGATACACTATTTCATGTTTCTATTGCATTTTTTTGGGATGACAAAAAACTTTAATTTATTCACGAAATCATCACCACGTTTTTTATTAAATCTAGTGCATTGTTGGCTTATTTTGAGCCATTAGATCTGAAATTGAATGCACAAGATTTATTCTAACTTTGCATGGGAAGGTCTCTTTTGTATTTGAACTCTCCCCGATATATATATCCTTGATGTTTTCCTTCCTCTTATATTTCTCTAGTACTTTCCTGGATTCAAATAGATCATAAGGATTATGGACATTCATAAAAATCCATGCAAAAAGTCAGGGAGAAAACGATGGGAGACAAACCGAAGGTTTGAGATCCAGATTGATTCCCACTTTCTGATCAAGAGATCTTGGAGCTTTAGCAGTTAGCATCACAGCATTGAGCCTCTTCATTGACATCCCTGTTGCCTCTGCCACTTCTTTATCATCAGGGTCTCTACCATTTACTGTGTACAATTGCTTCCTTGCTTCCTTCACTTTATATGCTGCAGCAACCATGTTTATCTGCACATAAAGAATTATGGTTGTAGTTGTATCCTTATCTTCACCATTTCTTAAGTGGTCTTGTTCTTTCCTTTTATTACCATCATGTATTCATGTGCACCTAAGGAAGACATTTCAAAGGCCTACAAAATGACTGTTTCTTTACCCCATGCTTTAGCTACTCGTAGAAACTAAAAGTTCGGTCACTATAGAAGAATACTTACTGGCAGTCTAATTGTCCGGGATTGCTCTGATAGACATTTTCTAACTGCTTGCTTAATCCACCAATAAGCATATGTTGAGAACCTGAACCCCTTTGAAGCATCAAACTTCTCTGCACCTTTAACTAGTCCTTGACATCCTTCCTGTGATAAAAATTCAAAGAATCTTCACCAAACTTGATCAACATATTATTTAACAATGACTAATATCCTTTGGGACTTGCAACCTTGTTAAAGCAAATGGTAGCCTAATACCTGAACCAGATCCTGAATACTCAACCCAGCTCCTTGATATTTTTTTGCTATGGATATAACAAGCTTTATGTTGCTGCTGATCATTTTATCTTTGCATTGGATACCATAGTTTAATCGCTTTCTTAAGGTTTTCTGATCAACACCGGCTGCAATAGCCCACTGTGCAAATGTTGGCTGACCACCACACTGCTCTCTAAGCTCCTCCTCCTGTCTCTCTAATTTTAGTAGATCCTGTTCACTTCTTTTATGACGATTCAGATGTCATTTTAAAAAAGTAAAAAGAAATATGCAAGTTATTATGATTATAAGCACGAAAAGAGGGGCATATATAAAGAATATTGCTTCGATAATGACTTCGTGTAC